TACTTGGGTCTCTCTGGTGTTGGCATTGAGTACCATTGGTTTTGGGGTTGCATGAAATAAGAACAATTGAAAATGATTCAGAAGTTTAACGTTTGTGCTAGTTCATTTGCACTGCAATTGTTCCTAATTTTAAATGTATACTTAATGGTTCTAGCTAAGTTTTCAGCTTCATTCCTGATCACCTATCTTATTCTAAAATTTTGCGCCAAGAGATCCTGGTTATCCAAGTGAGAGCTATCTGTATAGCATTCAATATTGCAGTGTCTTTTTATTTATATCTCACCTCTAATCCCTGTTCCTTTTTTTTTAAAAGAAAAATTAGACTTTGGAATTTTTATAATGTGGAAAACCTGTATCTTAATTTTGAATCTTTGAGTAAAATCGTAAAAATATTTATTTCTTGCTAAATAAGCATTTAACCTACTAAAACATTTCCTAGTTCTCAAAAGTTATAGACACTGAATATGAACTATTTATTGTTCTCCGAACAGACTCCATAGACCATAGCTTATCAGAACTGATTCGAAAGAACTATCTTGGCCTGACCTTTAACTACATAATGATTGCCAAAGGAAGCTTTTTTAATCAGAATTGAGGAGATATTGAGTTTTTTGAAGAAAGATTTATGGTACATTTTCATCTGAACACCAGTGAGGGTGAATCTAAAATTATTGTTACACATACTTTTGGTATTTCTCATGTTAATGACCAGAGAAGAGTATACCAAATAGAGAACCCAATTTTTCATTTTAAAAGAATAAATAGTCTGATAAGTTCTTGTTACTCTGAAAATTTCACATTTATTATATTCTTCGTAAGGCTATATGAGTTGCTCTATTCTGAAATGGGTTGTGATTGATAAAACAGAATTACTGGACATTTATTGCTGCAAAACGACGAAGTCATGAGAAGTTGCCCACATCTAGATTAATGTTCTGGTCTGTACAGCCCTGAGAATTTCAGATCCTTTTTTTTTCATATCGCCTTCCTCTTTACTATTGGTTCAAAATGATATTACTGTTTAATTCCCAGCGTGAGTCCAAAGACTATCATTTGGGGTTTTTGCAACTGGACACGTGGACATGAAACTTTTACTATCATGGATCCGTTCATCTTTGGAGTTATGTGGGGGCAGATCATCTATTGCATTGTTCATGGGGCCACCCAATTATCTCTTCAGTAACTGCTTTGCACAATTCACCCTATACCATTTTCTAACTCCTGTGTCCTCTCGTCTTTTTGTTTATTTTCCACTCCTTTCCTCTCACACTCTCTACATGTAGCTCTTAAACATTTCTCATTGTGATTTCTGCAATTCTCTGCTTGTGACCAACACGTTGTCTTAATCCTTGTCTCTTAAAAAGTCTTTCCTTTGTTTTTAAGCCATTGTCTTCTGATGTCACTGCACACGTTTTGACATTTCTGACAATTTATTGAAGGTGCCTTCGATAAACTATTGAACGTTGTAACAAACTGGCAACCAGTGTGTATATATAAGGCAAAATCTAGGTCATGACATTAGATGGGACCAGGGTGTCTCGGAGCTGTGGCACATGGGTAAGAGGAAAATTGTGCTTTGGGATTGAGCCTGTGTAAGTGACTTGGTAGAAATTCTGGTAATATTGTATGTTGTTTTGGCGTAAAGACAATTTAGGGCTTCACATCTTGCAGTGAATGGACCTTTTTGGAATTCCAAGGCACATGGGAAGGGGCAGCTAGCATCTGGGAATTGACTATAACCTGACTTTGTTTTTTTTTCTTGCCTGTGATATTGAAGTGAGCATACAGAAACATTCTTCATTTGTGCATGCATAAGCTCCAGTGATTCCAATAGTCCCTGGAAAAGAAATGTAGATTGGAAGGAGGGCTGTTCTGCGTGTTGTTTCAGAATTTTGGATCAGGACTGTGTGTGGTACATCTGGAAATGAAAAGTTAACTAGTTGGATGGAGGTTAAATATGGCTGGGGAAGGAGGAATGAGTAAGATGGAAAGGTGGAGGGAGGTGGCAGAGCCAAAAGAGAAGCCAGTTTGTGTATGTGATGCTAATTGATTACGGAAGAAACTCTAGGAGCCTTATCACCCCACTAGTGATTTGTTTTAAAGAGTGATATCCAACTTTTCAGTACGAATTTCATCGTAGGACTACCTTCTGATAGACAGCATGACTACCAGAAAGAATTTGAAAGACCCTTGTGCTAGGTTCTGAACAGTGGTTTTTCCTAATTGTTTATGTTTGAGCAAATGCATAACATGTTTAATGTACTTACCTCACCTTGCATGATAAGACATTTAATTGTGGAAAGCTAACACTGAGGCATTGTTTATTTAGGTTAGAATTTAGAACATGTGTTTGTGGCAATCTGATGTTTGTACTTCAGTTTTTTTTAAAAGAAAAGGGAAGTGGAAAATCTACGAGCTTGCCCTTTCCACGGTTTCTCTGATTATGATATCTCAGGATCTGTTTGGTTGTGCTGTATGTTCCCCATATCTGTACTTATAAATGGAACAGGCCTACACGATCCTACAAGTAAAATCATTCCTTGGCAAAGATAATTTAAATAATTTGTCAATTCAGTGTGATAATATTTCTCTGGTGACATAATAGTTTTGTTGGAGTAGTAATCCAGAGGATGGGCTAATGTTCTGCAGACATGGGTTCAAACTTCACCATGGCAGCAAGTAGAATTTGAAATCAGTTGATAAATCTGAAATTTTTTTTTTTTAAAAGAAGTCTATTATTAATGGTGAACATGGCAGCTGTCAATGTTGTAAAAACCCACCTGGTTCACAGATGTTCTTTTTAAGAAGTAAATCTGTCGACCTCACCTGGTCTGGCCTATATGGGAGTCTAGATCCACATCTTAAGTGCCCTCTGAACTTGCCTAGCAAACTACTCCATTCAAGAGCAATTTAAAGACAAATGCTGGTCTTGCCAGCCGTACTCACCTCCCATGGAAGCATGAAGGAAAAAAAGAATCTACACAAATGCGACAGATCAAACTCGGCCAAATAACATACTATCTATTCATTCTTGTTCATCAGCAAAGTGATTGTTGGAATTGAGGGTTATCAGGTAGCAGTTGGTCACCACTAACCTTCCCAGTTTGGGGGCCATCAGGAGTGCTTTGGTCCAAATCTCAACATAACCTTGATCCAAATGTGGGCAACCATGGAATTCTTTTGGCTGGCTGCGAGTGAGTGCTTTGACTATTAAGGCAGTATTCCAACAATTGTGGAACTAAGGAATCCTAACTGAGTCTAATGTGGGTCAGAAAACCAGCTGTCTGCTGGCTCATTTCATGGCCACCATATGGAAGATAGTTATGGTTGTTCAAGTTCAAGCCGCTTGATCCTATTTTACTGTTGCAGGAGCTACCTGTCTTTAACTGTTTCTTTCATGATCTTCCTCCATTGCAATGTCTGAAGTGGGAGTATTTGTTGGAGGTTGGACAGTATTCAGTTAAACTCTCAATTCCTCTGATAATTAAGCGGTTGGTACCCATGTATAGTATTAACATGAAACCATCCAAGTGTAAGATGAGAAGTGGCAAAAAATATCAGTTTCATGCAAGTGTCAGACAGTGACCATCTCTACAAGAGTGCATAACCACTCCCTCAAAAGACACTTGTGCAGTAGCTATACTGTCTTGCCTTGTTCTTTGTTGGTTTTGCTTATTTCCTGCTTATCAAGTGGGACAAATGGCATGGTTAAAGCTGTATGAACTGATTTGAACCAGATTTGAAAGAGATTGACCAAGAATGCAAACACAATTTAATTATAGCAGGGCATAGATACCATTTGAAAGATGGAAGTACTTTTTATCTGCATTGGTCTGCCTTTTAGCAATTACAATGAAAACTTCCTGCTATTGTGTTCCCACAGGACATGGTCCCTGTGGAAGCTTAAGACATTGCAAATGAGATCGGAAGTGGGTTATTCTGTTTAAAATTTGAAACTTCGTCCCATAAGAAGGATGTATGATTGAATGAAATGTGATTTGATGTATTTGTTACTAAAAGCTGCTAATCAAGTCCAGCTCTAATGAAATACCAGTTGGTGGTAGAAATTTTCTACAAAATAGATGTAGGCTATAATGAAACTCAGTACGTAGCAAGTAATTTAATGCCTGATGAACAGTTAATGTTAGGTTGTAAATGACATACGATCCTCAATCCCTAAAATGATAGAATAGAGAAAGTAATTTAGACCTGGTTGTTTCACTGTCCAGCTATGATATTTTCTTTAAAAATCTATAATCGAATAAAGGATACTTCAGCCAAGAGCTAGTATCAAGAAAAAGCGATACCAAATGTTGCTAGTGCTCTCACCACATACCCCTATTCTCCTTGTAACAGGAATTCGTGTTGTGTAACTGTTCATGAGCACAATGTTGAGAAAGTGCTAAATGAAATTTTCTGCACTTAGACATTTACATTGCAGATTTCCTGAGATGATACCCATGGTATCCAGAACAAATGTGCTTGCTTACAAATTGAAAGAGGTGCTGTGTTGTATTGTTGAGAGCATGAAGCCACCAGGAGAGTGGTAGGAAGAATGGAATTTGTATATAAACGTTTTGAACAGATCTGCTTGCGTCTGTTCAAGATGGCACAGGTTTCAGTACTTCCAAGGTACCCTAACAACAGATTGGATGGGTGGATGAGCAGAGACCTCGGGGATAAACTGAAAGGATAGTGTCCTTGATTGTGGTAATATTCTTTGGTAACTCAATTTTGTTGCACCTCTTTTGAGAAAATTGGCACATCCCTAATGGACCATGAGTCATAGCAGAATCCTTATTAACCAGGCTATTAACTTAGTACAAAAACAATTGCATTGAGTTTCCAGAAGGTTAGGTTTCTCAATATCATGCATTCAATTCCAAAATGAAAATATTTTTCTGTCCTCCAATTATTCATGTCCTTCCATCCAAATTATTTTCTTCATCTCTGGTTTATTTATACTTTCTCAATTTCTCTGCATTCTTCTGTGTTTTCAGTACTGGAATGTCCTGGCACTGGATGGTAGTAACTGGCAGAGAATCGACCTGTTTGACTTCCAAAGAGATATAGAGGTACTGCGCTTAAGACTTTATGACGAATTGCTGATGGAAAAGTTAAATATTTCAAGAGGAAAAATAAATAACTGGCAGTGTGTTTTATATTTTATCTGTACGATTTCATGGGGAAATAATGTGATGTGCTTTGGTTGTAATTGTCTAGGTGCAATAAGAGGAGCTTGCACTCATCATGCCAGCTCTTATCATTTTGGAACTCTCTGAAGCATACAAAATTGATGAATTACATTTTGTGCTACAGCCACAATCGGCACTGTCATAAAATGCATTAATTTTGCACCCAACTATGTTCTACAAACTATTAGCTGAATACACAGTTGTGATGTTTTATTTTGGTATACCACAAGACCCTCTTTCACATTCATGGAGGAGAAGAGAATTTCTTTCTTTCGTGTCTCAGCTTGGCTGAATTGGTAGTGCTCTTGTTTGCAGTGGATTGTAGATTCAAGCCCCATTCTCATATTTGAAACACTGGCTTTGCGTTAGATACTGGTCTTCAGGTGTGGTGGTACAATGTACCAACTGTCAGCTGGCCTTTTTCAATGTCTTGTACAAAAGATACTGTGGCATCATTTGGAAAAGGATTGATATTTCTCATTATTTCTTCTTGAGTTAATATTGCCAAAAAAGAAGACTGAATTCAGCTAATCTTTTATGGAACATTACTGTGTAAAAAATGGCAACATATTTACTACATAGCCAACTGTGATTGTAGCACAAATATAATGTGTTGGTTTTATAATGCTTCAGAGACTTCTAAAAGATGAGAGCTGGCACAATGAGGGCAAGCCCCTTTTTACTTTTTAGATGGGCATCAGCTGACACGGTGAAAGAAATATTAACACTCCAGCTGCCTCACTGACACTCTTACAATACAATATCCTTTTATTGTTGCGTGTACTCCATCATAGGAATACATTGAAAAGCTTTTATAATGTCTACCTTCTTAATGGCAACATCTTAGGTACAAGTACCTAGGTACAGTTCTTGGATACAGCAGAGGAATGAAAGTAGTTGCATTGCCTACAGAGTTGAAAAAAAGTTTAAAAATAGGACGTCATTAAAGGTTTGACCTTTTACAGTAAGGTAGGAAATTTCAAATGTACATTAGTGTAACAGCTCAGTGCAGGGCCTCCATGTGGTCTGACTGCCCAGTCCAACAGCTGTCCTCATTCCGCTCCAAGCTGCAGACTGCTCCAAGGAAAGTGCCAAGACTTCCTCCCCCGTGCCTGTCTCTGCCTGGCACGCTCTGCCTGCGCGATGCTCTGGGGCTGCTTCCTTCCGCTGTTCTGAGGCTTGCAGCCCACGTGCTGTTCCAGGGCTCACTGCTTGTGCTGCTCCAGGACCCGCAGCCTGTGGTCCACCCTCTTGTGTCCATATCAAAAGTTCCAACATATGATATTTCTGTGTAATTTACAACTAAGGAATTGTATGATTTTGATCTTTGCTGGGTAGTAGTGAATGTTTAATTTCTAAGATGCAGGTAGTTGCAGTATATTTCTTTTGCCACTTCATTTGTGTAACTGCTTTAAACTCAAGAATTGCTTTATGTAAATTAATTCACATTTTAATGAGGAAGGAGAATGGTTTTGCCCTCCGTGATATAATGATTGCCTCTGCTATAGCAAGATAACAAAAGTCTACTGTCACTAACAAACTGGAGCCTTCAAAAAAGTTTCTGTTCTATACTCGCAGACTAAATCATTAAAATTGACCTTTTTTACTTTTAAGATTTTTGATTTTTCTTTCCACCTCCTCCTCTCACACACCATTAAAAAGACTTAGCAAAACAAATAATGGAAAAACTACAACTACATTGATTGCATTGGTCCATAAAAATGTGTCCTCCATCCTCCATTTAATTAGGTGGAGTTGTATGTTCCTTTCTGTCATGCTTCCAGGAATAACAGAAACATCTAGCTTTCAATAAAATCTACTGGTTCCCACAATGTGTTTCAACATTTTTCCAAAATGACTAATTCCAACTGCCTTTTGTAGAAAAAGGCTTGATCGCATTTGCAGTTTTAACATCTAGAAGGTGTGTGGTGATGAATTACTGGCAGCTTTCCAAAAATGAGACTGCCTGATTTTCTGTTCAACATCGCCTACTACAGTCCCAGAGTTCAGGAGTACTGGGAAATTGAGAGCTGCATAAGAGAACAAAATAGGAAAGTGATGTGGTTGTTGAAATATTGTAGTCACAATAGGTCACTGAGCTCCAGATTAGACACTGTGGGAAGCTTTGAATGTAATTTGTTGTGGGTAGTGCTCAAGTATCAGAAAACCAAGTAGAACAGGGAGTCTTGGTGCCCATTAAAAAAGGGAGAGCCTGAACAGGAACTTGACCCCTTTCCCTTCAGGGAACCAGTCTGTTTCTGTTCCTGAAATTGTAACGGTATTAGAATTAGAATTGGAGTTAGCTTTATTATCACATACTCAAATGAATACAGTGAAAAGTTTACAAGTCACCACTTTAACAGCAACATCTTTGGTACAAAGGTACCTAGGTACAGATTTATAAGTACAAATTCTTGCGACGGGGGTGGGGGGAGGAAATTAGAAAAGTTACGGAATAAAGATGTTAGCTGATGACTTAAGTTTATCTTGAATAACTCCATCTCTATACAGCATGTATTTTCACTTTAGCATAACTCAAAAAAGAAAAATTCTGCCACTAACAACTTTATGAATTAAATCACAGCAACTTAATGTGGGGCTTCCTTTTTGTACAATTAATTGCTCCATGCTACAGATGTTTTAGGGAGGTGCAATCGGTGTAATGTCAATAAACGTTGACGTCCTGTTGGTGAGACTGCCCTTCAATAGATCAATTTCGCGCCCCCTTTAATTCCTCTCTTTCAGTTACATTTTTTTTTGCCCTGCTTCTGGGCTGTGAGAAAATGTTGATAGTCTGCACAGCCTCTGGGCAATAATGTCGTGACATCAATTTCGAGCCGAAGTCCTCAACATTTTTCTTTCCCTTACACAAGCCAAGTGTGCACATGATTGTGAGAACCTTTTGGACTGTGGGGATTCTGCCAGATTGTCCAGGTTTTGTTTCTGTAGAAAGCACTGAAATAGGGAGGCTCGGTTGTTTTATGGGGAGTATGGAAGTTTTATGTAGAATATTTCATGGGTCATAGGAAATAAAGGATCAATGCAATACACCACCCAGTACATAGCTCAGCAAATGCTTAGATGACATACGATGTAGGAGAAAGAGTAAAAGCCGATCCAGGCAATAACTAATTACAATGGAAATCTTGATATGGTGGAATGAAAAAAGATAAAAATGGAGGTGGGGGTGGGGAGAGAAAAGGCGACCAGTTTCATTTTTAGCATTTTTCTTTTATGTCTGTTACTCTGAGTGGGAGCAGGTAGAACTTGAGCCCAGGCCTCCTGGCTCAGAGGTAGGGGCATCATTACTGCATCATGAGCCCTGCTTCTCCAGGGTAGAGTCGGAGGCCCAACCATTCACAGCTCCTCCATCAATGACCTGGCCTAGCCATATAAATACTGTAGCTACAAGAGCAGGTCAGAGGCTAGGAATCCTGCAGCAAGTACAGCAAACTTTATATTAACTGGCAGCTATGGGATCAGTAGTGTCCCAGTTGATTAAGGGGTCCACGTAATCAATGCAAAACACACTAGGTAGTAGAATTGTAAAGCTGAGGATGTACACAGCACTGTAGCTCACCAACTGACTCCACAAAGCTGGTCCACCGTCTACAAGGCATACGTCAGGTGTGATTTCAAGTGCTCCTACTCACCTGGATGAATGCAGCTCCAAGAACACTCCAGTTTGATGCCATCCCGGACAAAGCATGATTGACATCACATTCTTAAATGTTCACTCCCTCTGCCTCTGTACGGTTGCAACAGTATGTGCAATCTACTGGATATATTGCAAGGATTCGCTGAGGCTCCTTCGACAGAACCGTTCCAAACTCCTGACTATTTTCATTTAGAAAGATGAGGCAGCAGATACCTAGAGTCATAGAGATATACAGCATGGAAACGGATCTTTTCAGTCCAACTCATCCATGCTGACCAGATATCCTATATAAATCTAGTCCCATTTGCCAGCGTTTGGCCAATATCCCTCTTAAACTCTTCCCATTCATATACCCATCCATGTTTAAATGTTGTAATTGTACCAGCCTCCATCACATCCTCTAGCAACTCACATCCATACATACACCACCCTCTGCGTGAAAAAGTTGCCCCTTGGGTCCCTTAAATCTTTTCCCCCTCACCTTAAACCTATGCCCTTTAGTTTTGGACTCCTATGCACTGGGGAAAAGACCTTGCCTATTCACCCTATCCATGCCCCTAATGATTTAATAAACCCCTTTAAGGTCACCCCTCAGCCTCTGATGCTCCCAGCTTATTCAGCCTCTCCCTGTAGCTCAGATCCTCCAACCTTGGTAACATTCTTGTAAATCTTTTCTGAACCCTTTCAAGTTTCATTACACATGGTGGCAGCACCACTACCTTCAAGTTCCTCATCAAGTCATTTACCGGCCTGACTTAGGGGGACAAAAGTGCCATTTCTTCTGGGTCACTTGGTCAAAATCCTGGAACTCCATTCCTAACACATTTGTGAATGTATCTATATCAAGGGGTGACCTTAAAAGCTTAAAATCATGAGGGGCATGGATAGGGTGAATAGCCAAGGTCTTTTCCCTGAGCTGGGGGAGTCCACAACTAGACGACATAGCTCTAAGGTGGGAGGGCAAAGATTTAAAAGGGACCGAAGGGGCAACTTTTTCACGCAGGGTAGTGCAATATGGAATGAGCCACTAGAGGAACTGGTGGAGATGGATATAATTACAATTGAAAGGCATCTGGATGGGTACACGAATGGGAGGGCATTAGAAGAATATGGGCTAAATGCTAGCAGATGGGACTAGATTAATTTAGGATATCTAGTCGGTATGGACAAGTTGGACCGAAGGGTCTGTTTCCATGTTGTACAGATCAATGACTCTCCTAAA